AAAAAAAAAAAGAAAAAGAAAAAAAAAAGAAATAGAAATGCTGATCAAAAGTATAATGAGATGCCACTTTACACCCACGAGGATGACTACAATCAAAATGTCAGATAATAAGTACTGGCAAGGATCTGGAGGAACTGGAAGCCTCATATACTGCTAGTGGCAATATGAGATGGTACAACCACTTTGGAAAATAGCCCATCAGTAACTCAAAAGGTTAAATAGAGAGTTATCAATTGACCAAACAATTTCATAACTATGTATTTCTGGATACAAGAGAAACAAAAACATGTCCATATAGAAACTTTTACATGAATATTAATGGCAGCATTATTAATAACAGCCAAAAGATAGAAACAATCTAAATATTAATCAAATGGCAAATGGACAAACAAAACTTAGTACGTCCATATAAAGGAATATATTCAACTATAAAAGAGAATAAAGTACAGTAGAACCACCACCACAAGGATCATTACAAACTGGTCACCATAAGGAACTAAGCCTACTATACTGATACACACATCTGGTGCATGTCCAGTCTATGAAAATTAGGTCAACTTAAGGAGGCAGTCAACTATGGAGGTTCTACTGGATTTATTATACATGCTACAATATGGATCAACTTTCAAAACATTATACTAAGAAAGAAGCCTGATACAAAAGACCACAGATCATACAATTCCATTTATATGTAAAGGCCAGAAAAGGTAAATGTATAGAAATACAAAATAGCTTAGGGCTAGAAGGGGATAAGGGGGGTGAGATGTAATAGTTAAAGGGTGCAAAGTTTCTTTTTGTGGTAATGACAATGTTTTAAAGTTGATTGTAGTGATGGTTGCTAAACTCTGTGAATATACTAAAAACCAATGAATTACATACTTGTACACATTTAAAGTATGTGTGTATGGTATGTGAATTATATTTCAATAAAACAATGATAAAAAAGGAAGGAAGAAGAGATTGAGAAGCAGTACCTCCTCCAAAAATAGCAGTTGGGTTTATACATGGCAAAAGAGAAAACTGGTATTATGAAACTACACTGGACACAAAATATACAAACTTCATTAACAATTTAAATAGCAATTTGATTCAATAGTCAATAACAAGTAAAGATGCTGTGACTTACGGTAGACATATTGGACAGCTATCTATCCAATATCTAGTTTTCCCTTTTCCTTGGTAAAAGAATCCAGATTTTCTCTGAGGTAGTAATACAATTAGCTAGTGACCTTGGCAGCCTCCTTTACAGTTGCTTTTACTTAATGAGATATAAATGAAAGTCTTCTGGGAGGTTTTGGAAGGGCTTTGCTTTCCTGATCACAATGAACAGTAAGAGTTGGCATAGTTCATTTCCCCCTTCTTGCTGTGAACACGGACAGTTGCAGCTGTCCCCTTACATTTATGAAGCAACAAACAAGGCAATGCAAATCAACACACTTAAGGTAATGGATCAAAGATACAGAAGGAGCCTGCGTTTTCCATTACCTTACAGTGCTCTGCATCAGCATGGATTTCCTCCTTCCCAGCCCTCCTATTATCTCAGAAGACCAACACCCTATTTTTAATGCTAATACAGTCAAATTTTCTATCTTTTAATGCCAAACTCAGTGTTTACTAGTACAGCAGTCACCCCTTATCTGCAGGGGATACATTCCAAGACCACTAGTGGATGCATGAACCCACAGACTGTACCAAACAACCTAAGTTTTTTGCTTTTCCCTGTACATATATATAACTATAATAAAATTTCACTTGTACATTAGACACAGTAAGAGATTACCAACAACAATAAAATGGGATAATTAAAACAATATACTGTAATAAACTTGTGTGGTCCATGAAAATGCTGTAGTATTTTCAGTATTGAAATATACTTAGTACTCAGTACCCTGTTGACCATGGGTAATAAAACCAAAGAAAGTGAAACTGCAGATAAGGGGGGACTACTATATAATGCTTCTTTGGTCAAATTTTAAATACTTTGAGCTACTTATGATTTAAAGATAGTCTCAAAAATCAGAATGGGGCTGGGTGCAGTTACTCACACCTATAATTCTAGCACTCTGGGAGGCCGAGGCAGGTGGACTGCTTGAGCTCAGGAGTTTGAGACCAGCCTGAGCAAGAGTGAGACCCCATCTCTAAAACTAGCCAGGTGATGTGGTGGGTGCCTATTGCCCCAGCTACTTTGGAGGCTGAAGCAAGAGGATCTCTTGAGCCCAAGAAGTTGAGGCTACTGTGAGCTGTGACACCCCAGCACTCTACCAAGAGTGACGAAGTAAGATTGTGTTTCAAAAAAAAAAAAAAAAAAGAGAGAGAAAGAAAATCAGAATGGGAAACTAGGCAAGGGAATTTGTTTCTTCACCCTGAAAATTTAAGATTATTTTTGGAAAAATATCTGTTTCCAAATTCAAGTCAGGAAAATAAGAACCCATATTACCTGGCACATTCTGTCAATATTTTCTTCAGTTGGCATTACAAAGTACACTGCAGGAACATCTGGAATAGGATCTCGATCAGAGTGTAAAAGTCTAGAAGACATAAAGAACATAAAACATTTTTTTCTTAGTCACTTACCTCAGAAGATAGTTTAAAACAGTATTTCTCAAACTGGGAGTTCACTAGCTTAAGGACAGTGACCTGTGCTCTAAAAGTGCTTTCTGCATTTAATCAGTTGTTAATTCAACTTCTTCATTACATCAGTGTTAACATTATTTAATGATAAGATCCAAATTTCTCATTAGTGTTCATTTGTCTTTTTTTTTTTTTTAAATTAAATCATAGTTGTGTACATTAATGCAATCATGGAGTACAGTGTGGTGTTTTCATATACAATTTGAAATCTTTTCATCAAACTGGTTAATGTAGCCATCTTAGTCATGTCATTTTCTTAGCTATTGTGTTAAGACATTTATATTCTACTTTTAGAAAGAATCACTTGTACCCTTGTAAGAGAAACCACAGAGGTGATCCCACCAATCCACAATCCACCCATCTACCGCCCCCCCCCATATTCTTAGGCTATAGTTAGGCTATAGCTTTCAAATGAAAGCTATAAGTTAGTTTCATAATAGGGCTGAGTACATTGGATACTTTTTCTTCCGTTCTTGAGATACTCATTTGTCTTTTATGTGTTGTTTCATAAGAGAATATACAAGAGAAAAGCTGAAGATCTTATAGATTACATCACTTCATAGTTTTCTCTTATAATTCAGAGAATATTTTCACTCAAATATCCCAATATCAAATCACAAAATCTCTTTACCATTCATTTTAAGATTCTGCCATGCTTATGTCAGGAAATATAATAACAATTTATTTCTACAACGTTCACCCCTCTCTAGTCATCCTACTATGATCAGGAAGAGGCACATGTTCCCATTGGGGTCTGCTGGTCATCACTTCTCCTGTGTGGCTGCTACAGAAGGAGGATAATGTGATGGTTGCCACAGGTTGTTGTCTCTCTTTTTTTCTTTTTCTTCCTTCCTTTCTCCCTCCCTTTTTTTTGGTCACCCTGATACCCACTTGTCTTTTTTATGTTGGCTGTTCAACTACCATTTCATATTCTAGAAACTCAGTAGTTACTGTTTCCTACAAATTGGCCTAAATTGGCCAGTTTGCAGAGTATAAAGTAGTTACAGTATTCTCCAGCAAGGAGGGAATGGTTAGGGGCAAGGTGCACAACAGTTCACCTCAGCAGCTATAAAATCTTTCTATGTTCCAGTGGCAGCAGCAACAGGTTAGGCCATATTGCTTTATTTTTTATCAACTGTGTCAGAAATAATATAATCAACCCTAATCACTACAGAACACAGATAGCTTCTCATGTGATTAAAAGTCATCACTTCAGTCACTAAAAGTATTCATATTAATGATAAACTAATTCAGATATTCCTTTTTTAAAAAAGTAAAGATGGTTCCCGATTATGATAGTTTGGCTTAGGATCCTGTGACTTTATGATGGTGCCAAAGCCATATACCCCAGTAGAAACTGTACTTCAAGTACCCATACAACTATCCTGTTTTAAAGAGTATTCAATAAATGAGGTGAGATAATCAACAGTTCACTAAGTAGTCTTTGTGTGTTAGATGATTTTGCCCAAATGTAGGCTAAAGTAAGTGTTCTGAACACATTTAAGGTAGTCTAGGCTAAGCTATGATGTCTGGTAGTTTAGGTGTATTAAATGCATTTTCAACTTTTAATATTTTCAACTTATGATGGATTTATCAGGAAATAACGCCATCCTAAGTCAAACAACATGCATATATTTAAATTAAAGGAATAAAACACTTCTAGAGCTGGACGAGACCTTAACACTATGGTTCTTCTCCTTCACACAGCAAGTAAACCAAATGTATAGGAAGAAAATATAAATTATGAACCATAAAGCCTAGATTGCAGATTAATTTTTAACCTCAAAAATAAAGGTTGAATAAATGTTCTATAAAGGAAAAAAATGTTCTGTATGATATAAATACTGTAAACTATTTTTCTCTATCAATGTTCCTTAATAATTTCACTTTAGAGAGGCCAAGGAATTTTTAAAATATTTGAAAATAAATGTCAGTATTAGAAATATGTTAAAACTCACAGATGCAGAGTGATTCCCATGTCTCTCAGCTCCTTCACAGATAGCAGAGGAGAAATTATGTCTTGGCCAAATCTGTCATAAATGAGTACCTATTTTTAAAAAATGTGTTTTTTAAACATCATTATCAGTGAAAAACCAATAAAGAATGCATACCAAGACAATGAATTAAGAGAATGTGAACTTTAATAAATTATGTATAATACTTCATTCTTATCCTTACCTCAATTTAATATTTTCCATCATTATTTACTAAAATGTCTATCCAAGTGGTAATATATTCTTGAAAGCATTACTACTTAGGGTATAACAAATCAGTAATTATATAAATTTCTTCTTATAAAATACTTTTTCTAGGTTTTTTCCCCAGTTTCCATAAATCTTTTCTAAAAACAGACATGTAAAAATTAGCCACTTTCAAAACTAATACATAATAAGTTCCACTATGTAGAAATTTAGTAATTTAAGGATCTCAAGTTAGTAATATAATTTCTTTTAAAAATTAAGCTGAAAGAGCATTTTATAGCCTTATTCCACCAAACACATTTCCTCACATTCTAAAAGTACTAACA